GTGTCAGCTCCAGTTCAGTTTGTGAGGAAATACACAGGGTGCCATACTGGAAGGCCCATACTGGACACCGCTATCAGAGGGGTTATGTTTTCCTCTTTCTCCATTAAGACCTTGATTTCTCTCTACTCCCTTTTTCAGTTCCCTGTGTCCCTGGTGGTTTGCCTAAGCCTATAAATGTCACCTTCTTATCCGTAAACATGAAGAACGTCCTCCAGTGGGGCCCACCCCAGGGCCTACAAGGAGTAGATGTGGCTTACACTGTGCAGTATTTCATGTAAGTTGGTTCTTTTCCTTTTGGCTGGTTTATAGACACAAGACCTCAGACTCCTGCGGAGAAGATACGCCATCTTTTGTATTAAATAAGTATTTGAAAAGAAGAAAATTAGAGGTTCCATGTTGTTTTTCTCGCTATGCTTTGTTAGCTTAAATTAGAAAACAGTTCCTCATGGAGACAGGAGCGCGGGAGGCTGAGGCAAGGGGAAGGTATTTAAATGGAGAAAAGAAGTTGGTCAAAAGATGATTCTGTGGCTCAGCAAATAAAGAAATCCATCATCTCGGGAATGTCTAAACTTACTGGAATTATGCACGTGTTAAGTGAACCTGAGCACAGAATTATGTACAACTGTCTGTTCCTGTTGGAGAGAGTAGTGAGTGGACATTTTTACTTTTTACCTCTCCCTCAAAACTCATTGCAAACAAGAAAGAATGCAAATCAGACGGACAATGTCCAACTTCGAAACAACCAAGGAAATGGTCACAACCGCCAAGCCACAGACTAGGAGATATACAAGACAAATACTATGAAATCTGAAAGAAACCACCCCACAAGCTGGAAGTAAATCTATAGCTCCTCAAACTCCAACAGTAGACAATAATGTCACAAGATAAATGTCACAGTACTCAGAGGCTTAACCCACAGTCTAAGGATGTGGAATCCAAGGAATTCCCACCCCCAGAAATTGAGGAAATGACCCCATGGAGCCCAGGTTATCGGAGAAGGAGGGGCTAAAAGTGAAATCAGGGTCAAGTGATATATCCAATGTAGAAGATCTGAAGCAGCCCAGGGGAAAGGGGAGTGAGCGGGACAGAAGAGAAAGAAAAGCAGCCCAGGGAAGTGCCATCAGCCTGTTGAAATCCTCCTGTTGAAATCCTGAGGGTGAGCAGGCTTCCTGTCAAAGGAAATGGCATGAGTCCATGATACAGTGTGTAACAGACCCACAATCCTGTGCCCATTCACCTAATATTCTAAAAATAGCTCTAGCCGGTTTGGTTCAGTGGTTAAGAGCATAGGCCGTTGAACTAGGGGGTCCAGATTTGATTCCAGTCAAAGGATACATGCCTGGGGTCATGCACTAGATCCCCAGTAGGGGGTGTGCAGGAAGCAGCCAATCAATGATTCTCTCTCATCAATGTTTCTAATCTCTCTCTTTTCTCTCTGTGCCTCTCTGAAATCAATAAAAATGTATTTTAAAAATAAATAAGACTAAAAATAGTTGGCCCCATTCAAAGAGCAACAGTCCCAAAGAAGCCAGCACAGCACCTATCCATAATCATTGGAAGAGAGAAAGAGGAAAAAAAGAACACAAGTGAAAGTTTTTCTCATGGAAAATAGGAGAAAAAATTCATACAAATAATGTCCATAGTTTGAGCCCATAAGCAACATGTTTCTAATGATAAAGCTTAAAGAAGAAGTTGCAATCTCTTCCAAAAGAAGAAATTCTAAGACCACAGGAAGAACTATTTTTTTTTAAAGCAAGTGGGCAGAGCTTAGGGAAAAAATGTAAAATAAAAATATTAAATATACTTTAAGAACCTATTATAGCCCGGCTGGCATGGCTCAGTGATTAAGCATCAACCTATGAACCAGGTGATCAAGATTTAGTTCCCAGTCAGGGCATATTCCTGGGTCGCAGGCTCATTCCCCAGTATAAGGCATACAGGAGGCAACCGATCAATGGTTCTCTCTGATCATTGATGTTTCCCTCTCTCTCTCCTTCTGCCTACCTCTTTGAAATCAATAAGAATTAAAAAAGAAAAAAAACAACTATTATAGCTGTTAGGAATAGTTGACCAAGAAATAATGATAATAATCTGGCATTGCATATCATAAATGCATGTTATATCCAGCAAAATGTAATAAAAACAATAGCAAGACATATCCTGGTGAACTTATTGGACTTTAAGAAAATGAAATGATTTCTAGCAAAAGCAGGACTCAAATCGGGAGGGGATGAAGTGATTTCTGTCCAGCAGCACTCAGCGGAAAACTGTGCTACACCTTCTGAGGGGAAAATAGGTGAGGCCCAAGACTCTTATCAAGTTCAACAGGTGTCTTTTCAAGTAGGTAGGAATTTAAGATATCACTCCCATGAGACCTTCTTGGGAGGTGAGGAACCACTAACTAAAGATGATAACCACCTGACATAGAAAAGAAGATGAACCTAGACAAAGAAATTAGTAATGACGGGATGATGGCATAAAGACTGGTAGCATGCATTGCAAAGATGTAAATTTAGAACTAAGAGCTCATAGTGATGAAAAATATGGTTCTTGAAATTTCTCATATACATTTGAACCTAAACAATAATAGAACAAATCAGAAGGTGGGCGAAAACTATAAGTGTACTGATATTCATAGCAGAAAGCCATTAAATATGATCTAAAATGAAACGACTTCATTTTAATGACTAAGCTCTCAATATTTTTCAAAAAAAATTTTCTTAATTTAAATGATATTTTAAGAACTATTATCTCTTGTGGTAAAGAAACATTTGAACTATAGCAATTCCTTTAATTTCTTATTTTATATTAAAGTGTAAGTCAAGTTTAGTACATTTATTAAAACTATGCATGTGGTATAATCTAGTTCTTATCTATATATTCAGCTCTCTAACTATCCTGGTTATATGTAAGCATAATGAGATGTCCAGAACCAAGTATACCAAATATTCCAGGGTAATAAGTTTCCAGTTGATTGATTTCTCTCTTGATTCTGCTTTTTTGATTAGTTGAGGTTTTTTTGTTTTTTTTTAAATGTACCAGTTACAAAAAAAAGAATAAAGTCATTTTTGTCTTTGAAAAAAAAAATTCCTACTTCCAATGGCAGTGGAGGACTTCAACGGCTCTTCCTGACCTAACTGAGCCAGACCCTCATTCTCATTTCCGAGGCGTCTCCCAGGAGCTGAGCTTAGGAGAGAAGACATCACTGTGCAAAGGGAAATGTTTTAGGAGCACGCACACTCTTTCCTCCTCTTCCATTAGGTGGAGCAAAAAGCTTGCTCTGTCCTTTATATGTCTTCCTGATTCAGAAAAGGAGTTTTTAAAATGGGCAGATTCATCACTGCTCTCTGACAGCAGATAAGTTGGATTGTGCAACTTTTGAAAAAGAATATTAAAAAAATAAAACAAAATAAATAAACCTTAGGAGGTGGACAGGAATACAGGGTGGTATATGTCACTGACAGGGCTCCAAGCTCAGGCAGAGTCAGACAGTCCTGGGCTCATAGGCAGACTGTGAACCTTGCTGGGTAACCTTTGGCAGATTACATATTAGACTTCTGAGTGAAGTTTGTTTCCAAGTAAAAGATGAAATGTGAACAAAAGTTTAAATTATATCTGCCAAAAGAATTGAATACACAAATATAGAGGGAAGCACTGAAAGCTCAAGCTTTGCATCCCAGGAAAGTGGTTCAAATCCCAGATATGCCTTTTACTAGTGATATGAACTTGAGCATTTGGTTTCCTTATTTCTCTGAGCTTCAGTTTTCTCATCTGTAAAATGGGTTATCACTGTTACAACCTTTTGTCCCAGGCAGAAAGAGGCATCATCCTTACTTCATCTCTTGTATGCCCCCAATCACCAAGTCCTGTGTCCTGATATTTCTTCCTGCATCCTATCGGTTTCATGGCCACCGTCCTTGTCTAGGCCACCCTCATCTTCCACCTGGAGTGTCCTCCCAGCTCCTCTCCAGGCTGCCACTCCTACCCCTTTGCATTCTCCATGCCACCACCGGAGTTATCTTTCTAAAACCCTAAGACACTGTTTAATCTTTTCACTAGCCTCTCCTGCAAACTGTCTCTTTTCCAGCTCATCTCTCATCACTTTATATACCTTTGCCTCTCCCACCTAAAAACAGTTCCCCCTCCCTATTTACTATGGGTGTTGTGCGTTTAATAAAGGAAAGGAAAAATCAAAGCGAACCCATCTAGTTTTAGTATCATCATTGCTATAATTGAAAATGCCGATTTGGGCATGCACTTCAGTCTGGTGACCTTTCCCCAAACCCTTGATGGCAACTAGATTTTTTAATTCTATGAGAATGTCAAGGTAATTTTTCTTCCAAGAAAAAAGACGGCTAATTTTTCTTAAAACAATCAACCTGACCTAAGTGTGCATGGCGGACTACAAAATGTACATAGATATAATTATTAGAGGAGTTGATCACACAATATGTAAAATTTTTACTGTAGCCCAAGAATAATAATAAAACACATGCTTTCAAGATATACCGTGTACATTATAATTCACAGAAGAGAAAGGTGATTACAGAAACTCTGACTCATGTTCCTGACAGCTAATGAAAAAAATTGCCAGCAGCAAAAGCAGATTCTTTTTTATCTCAATGACAGGCCTTCTGTTGTTCTGAAGAGAAAGGTCTTAAGTTCCATTCAGGTTTACATAATGACTATTTTTTCCTATTGTACAGCTCAGAGGGCACCTCATTATTAATTCACCGTTTCCTTCCCTGCAGATATGGGCAAAAGAAATGGCTGAACAAATCCGAATGCAGACACATCAATAGGACCCACTGTGATCTCTCTGCGGAAACTTCTGACTATGAACATCAATATTATGCCAAAGTAAAGGCCACTCGGGGATCTGATTGTTCCAAATGGGCAGAAACTGGACGATTCTATCCTTTCTTAGAAAGTAAGTAAGACAACTGTCTGTTAAACACGGATTACTATCACGCTCACCTGAGCTCCTAGTGTTACCAGGTTCGGCCTCACAGACAGCTTTGCCTGAGGAGCCAGTGCTCAGCTTGCCTCTGTTCTGCACTCTGTCCGTCAGCTGGTGGGGTGACCAGCCCAAGGTGCTTCTTACCACTGCATCCCAGAGTCTTGTCTTTAGAATGAAAGCCATGGCCAAGTGACCTCCAAGATCTCTTCCAGATCCCAAATTGATGCCAAATGTCAATACTATCAAAATTTTATCTTATTTTAGCATTTAGTGGAGACTATGTAATTTGAGGAACAACTGACAGATTTTTTTTTAATGTTGTGGGTTTCAAAACCATTGAATATGTCCACAAGGTTGATTATTTGTTGATTAATTATTCTGATCATCAAAGTACATCTTTTCTTGTTATGAACTTGGTGGTATGATGATGCAATTTCTAGGTGTACAGAATCTAGATAACACCTTGCTGGTATTTGCTTTTTCATTGTTCCATGCGCTGATCTATAGCTGACAGTGGTACAGGACTCACTCAGAGCTGCCATATGTAATTTACCAGTTCTTCTTAGGTCCTGAAGCTGGAGCCTTTCCCCTGATTCCCTTCTAGCTCAGAAGTCAGCAAACTCTGCCCTCACCCAAATGCAGCACCACCAACCCCCTTTCTGTTTTTCTACAGGCCAATAGCTAAGAATAGGTTTTACATTGATATGAGTTGCAACAGAGATCCTATCTGGACCTTTATGAGTAAACTTTGCTAACCTCTGTTCTAGATGATTCCAATCACATCTCCAAAGATCTGTAACAGTGCTTCATTCCTCCGTGTCTGCTTTTTGCCATGTATCAAATCATATTAATGTTATTAGTCACAATTTTTTCAAGTCACAGCAGTGTTTTAAATAGTTTTCACTGTATTTACCATCATCTCATCAAGGACTGTTTATCTATTGACTGGGAACTCCTCAACTAACTATTGTTGTTTTTTTGAATATATTTTATTGATTTTTTAAAAATATATTTTATTGATTTTTCACAGAGAGGAAGGGAGAAGAATAGAGAGTTGGAAACATCGATGAGAGAGAATCACCGATCAGCTGCCTCTTGCACACCCCCTACCGGGATGTGCCCGCAACCAATGTACATGCCCTTGACCAGAATCGAACCTGGGACCTTTCAGTCCACAGACCGATGCTCTATCCACTGAGCCAAACCGGTTTTGGCTATTTTATTGATTTTTTACAGAGAGAAAGGGGAAGGGATAGAGAGGTAGAAACATCGATGAGAGAGAAACATCGACCAGCTGCCTCCTGCACACCCCCTACTGGGGATGTGCCCACAACCAGTGTACATGCTCTTTGACCGGAATCAAACCCAGGACCTTTCAGTCCGCAGACCAACGCTCTATCCACTTAGCCAAACTGGTTTGGGCTCAACTGACTGTTTAAACATCATGTCAGAGTACATGAAATTCTTGTTTCAAGTTTCTGCATGCCTTGGACCCACCTTGGAGCATTCTGAGGCATCTCAAATAAGAGAGTTGGATAGAGAGATTTTTGTCCCAGTACTAAATCTTATTAGACTTTAGTTTTATCCAAGGTCATTTCTACATCTGAACATAATTCCCTCTCCTCTTCCCTTTAAGCACAAATTGGCCCACCAGAGGTTACTTTGACTCCTGATGAGAAATCCATTTCTGTTGTTCTGACGGCTCCAGAGAAGTGGAAGAAAAATTCAGAAGAAAGTTCCATTTCCATGCAACAAATATACTCAAATCTGAAATATAATGTGTCCATCTTCAATACTAGGTCCAACAGGATGGTAAGTCTGAATTAGAACAGGGCACATAATCTGGGTCACTTTTTGCAGTTAGTGCTGAAGCAAGCAGCCCTGCTGCTTTAATTCTCTGCATGTGAAAATGGGAAGATGTGATAATTCAAAAGAGATGCCATCCAAGATATAATTGAAGCTATGTAGAAGCTTTAAAAACTTTGGAATATCTTTGCAGAAACTTTCTGTTAATGGATATGATATTGCTATTGGATTAGTTATTGATGGAGAAGCTTTTACTTGCATAATATCTGTCAGTCACTCTCTAAGAAAGAAAAGGGTGTTAGCAAGAACACCGGACAAAGATGGATGAGGAATCCATCCTTATGGTGTTATTTAGCATTGTACCAGGATTGGTTCAGTTCCTGGGTATTGCCGAGCTACAGGGAAAGGATATTTTGAAGCTATTGCTGGAAAAAAAAAAAAAAAAAAGAAGAAGAAGAAGAAGCTTGAAAGCATAGTAAAGGATTTCATGGTATCTGGGTCTTTCATTTCCTTGTAGAGTTATTTGCCTGGGGTGGTACTAGAAATCTTTTCTGTAACTGATGTTTGCAATTCCCTAACCTAGTGGTCTCAGTGTGTGACCAACCACACGCTGGTGCTCAGCTGGCTCGAGCCGGACACTCTGTACTGCATCCAAGTGGAATCCTTCGTCCCAGGGCCTCCTCGCCTTGCTCGGCCTTCTGAGAAGCAATGTGTCAGCACTTTGAAAGGTAAGCTTTAAAACATCTCAGGTGCTCTGAGGAAGGAAGTCTGATGAAACTTGGCAGTGTAGACAAGGTATTGGCAAATCCATTTCTACCAGAAACAGGTTGAGGCAAAGGCAGAAACAGCCATCCCAGAAATGCCTTGAGCAGACCGGGACACTGCCATTGAACTTGGCCAAAGTTAGGGAGTGTTTTCACCCCTTGGGGGACCTCAGCACCAGGCCTGGCACTTGCTGGGGAAATAACAATTGGTAATTTTTACACACATCTTTTTTCTTTTTAAAAATTATAATCATTCTTTCTGATCAGTAGAAGTTCTATGGTCTTCAAGCACATCAGACAATTAATTATATTGCTAGAAACAAAGCATTATCATAAAAACACTTTTTAAGACAGAATCCTTTGCTCCTCCTCAGAAATACAAATTACAGGCTCCATGTTTACATATCACCGACTGGCTGGTCTGGGATCTACAAACCAGTACTTATGGCCTCGCTCTTAGAGTTGCTTCTCTCTCCTTTTATTTGTCTCCTTCTCGTGTTGTCTGAACGTGGATGCCAAGCACTGTGAGCGAAGAGTCTCCTTCCTGTTAGGAGACATGGAGTTAGGAGCTTAGCATTCGTGTAATCATTCTTCCTCCAAGGTGAGAGGACCTTGTATTCAAAACCTGAAAATTGAAAATAAATCCTAAAGTTGACTTTCATTGACTGGCTCTTCATCCATTATTCATTCTTCTGTTTCTCTCTTCCAAACGTGCTGGCCTAAGACAAATATCATAGCGTTTCCCCCAAGCCTTGGTCCCCTCCCCAGCTATGAGATAGGAATGGTGACATACCCCTCCTACATACCCCAACATGTCATAGTGACATGTCCCAAGGAATAAAAAGGGAATTTTGTGAGTACAAATAAACAGTGAAAAGCTTTATTTTTTAATCTCTATCCTTGTCATAGCTTTCCCTTTAAAATGAAGGGTTCCCTACCACATGTCAAATTAAACTAAAACGCTATGCAAGCAAAAGGCAACACAGAGCAGTTGAAGAAATTATTTGTGTATTTGGATAAAGTGCTCTGTTTACTAATAGCTTGATCAGTGGCCAAATGGTAGGAATGCATGCCCAGTGGAAATCATTTAAGCAGTTGGCAGAGTTAAGCAACTAGAGTATAGATTAAATTAAATACTTCCCAGTAAGCAGATGGAGTGGCTTCCTAACCAGTTTAGGAAAGGTAACAAAAGAGCAAGGAGGCACCATTTCAGCTCCTGAGCTTTTCCAGGATCTCCCAGCTGTTAGATCACCCCAGATACTTGCCAAGACAACACTATGGCAGCCTTCTTTTAAAAAGTTGGGCCCAGCTGTTTTGGCTCACTGGGTAGAGCATCGGCCTATGGACTGAAGGGTTCGGGTTCAATTCCAGTCAAGGGCACATGTCCGGGTTGCAACCTGATCCCCAGTAGGGGGTGAGCAGGAGGCAGTTGATCAATGATTCTCTCTCATCATGTTTCTCTCTCTCAAGTTTCTTGGTTTATTGTAACCAACATGTGCGGATGTACACAAAGTTCCACCAGTCACTGCTGGCCTGCCTCCTTTCATTAGCGCAAGTTCCGTCCTAGACCAGAGATTGTATCCAGATGCCTGAACTGAGTTGTAGCCTAAAGTAGGAGCGGATGTTGCTCAGTCACCTGCAACATCTGCATTGTGGCATTGGCATCTTTCTATGTGGAAGCTGATGACAAATGTGCTCTTCAGGGATTGGTCAGGCTAGAAGAACCTGCAGTCTGCTTTACTCAAGTAATTTAAACGCTAATTTCATCAAAAAAAATGTCTTCACAGAAATATCTAGAATAATGTTTTACTAATATCTAGGTTCCAATTTGGCATAGTCAAATTGACTCATAAAATAAACCATCCCAACCTCCAATTACCCCACAGGAGCTTAACACATATAAGTTAGTTACAATAATCCCCGCTCATCGACTGTATACTCTGATCAATGGTAGGGCAGGACTATTTTTCTTAAAACTATTCACCAGGTCTTTTCATTCCCTTTGGACTTTTACTCATCATGAACCCATAGCACATCAAGACCTGGAAAGGAATACACATACCAGGTTCTCAGCACACACCAGCTCAGCCACCTTCCTACAAACATCCCCAAGCTCCAGACGGACCCAGGAAAGTCTGAGCAACCTGCACAAGGGTAGTTCTGTTGGTCATATAGAAGGTGATACCATATATCCCTGTCCTCTACTGAGTATATGAAAAAGACTGAGTCAAATGAGTGGCATAAAAAAGTGGGGCTGCTTAGAGGGATCATTATAAGAGGGTTTTGTTGTTCGGTTCAAAGTGCTGTGAGTTGTCTGAATTTCAGATACATTTACCTTCAAGTATAAAAACCAACATGAATCTCATAGCCAGGTATAAAATGTTGGAATATATGCTGACTTGGATTGCTAACACATACTTGTTGTAAAGATTTGAGACAGTCCAAATAATTCCTTAAGACCATGTATTGTCAGAGACAGTAAGAATCCTGAGATCCTTGCCAAAACCGGTTTGGCTCAGTGGATAGAGCATCGGCCTGAAGACTGAAAGGTCCCAGATTTGATTCCAGTCGGGGGTGTGCAGGAGGCAGCTGATGGATGTTTCTCTATCATCGATGTTTCTAGCTTTCTATCCCTCTCTCTTCCTCTCTGTAAAAACTCAATAAAATATATTTTTAAAAAGAAATCTGAGACCCCTTATTACATTGTTATAAATAAGAAAACTGAATTCCTACATGTAAGTGATATGCCCAAAGCTTTTTGACATTGCCAGTATTTTCCCACCACACCAAGTTACAACAATCTATTCCCCCCCCCCTCCTTTTTTTTTTTAACAGATCAAACTTCAGCATTGAAAATTAAAATAATCTTCTGGTATGTTTTGCCCATATCTGTTACCGTGTTTCTCCTTTTTGTGATGGGCTTCTCTGCGTACAGATATATCCATGTTGGCAAAGAGAAACACCCAGCAAATCTGGTGAGTGCTTAGTGTGGCAGGGCACATTCTAACAACACATCTCCAGGTCGCTGGAAAGAAGGCTCTGTAACTGATAACCATTCCTTTTAGGAGCAGATTGAGTTTAAAGGTAAAGAGCGAATAAATAAATAAATAAATAATCTAGTTTCTCTACTAGATTAACTCACTAACATAACCAAAAGAGAAAGATGCCTTAGCATTAACAAACATTTTAGGTTTAATGTCCAGATTAGACTAGGTCTTGAGGTATGAGATAAAGTCATGATCCATGCCCTTTCAGAGGTTCAAGTCTAGTTGGGGACAGGAATTTCAAAATGATATGACTATGATGAAAGCAGGAGCACTGAAACCCTGCATGGGGATCAGGAGAAGTTCATGCCTGGGCTTGGTTATGACAGGTGAGTAAGAGTTAAGGACCTACTACTGGCAGAAGAAACCACAGGGGAAAGGTGGATAGCTGTTGGGGAAACCACATAGTATTGTTAAATCGTCCACCAGGGTTAAATCAATCTTCCTGATGAGGAGCTATGAAAAATGCAGCTAGAAAGTGGGTGGTAAGGCCAGGTGATGAGAGAATTGGGCAGTTGTTCCAAGAAGGTGGGGCTTTCTTCTATTGGCAAAGAAATCTGTGTAGGGTTTTACTTTGGTAATTAATGTCACGGTTGATATTGTGTTTTAGATCCACCTGGATAGTAAGTTTAAGACAACATTAAGGGGAGTGAGACTAGAAGAAATAAGTAAAGTAACTCGGAGACTGGCAGTTTTCCAAAGGAGAGAAGAGAGTGGGATGGAGGGCTGGAGACCAGGACATGGGGGAAGCACGTTTAGGAGGAAAATGGCCAGGATCTTGTCACTTATAGTAAGGAGAAGCAAGGAAGTAAAAGGAATAAACCTTATCCTCTGGACCAATCACTAAATGGTTTTGAAATGCTGAGCATATTTTAACAATAAAAATTATTTCTTTAAGAATTATTTTAAAATATGTTCACAGTACATATATGTATTCCTGTTAGTTCAGTTTAAAAATAGTTCTATGAATCTGCCTGCACTTATGGTTCAGAATTAGCTTTTTAAAGACATAGAGAGACCTTCCCTGCAAGGAAACTTCACAAAATTGACCACATGTTACTTTAAAAAAAAATTGAAAAAGAATAAAATTAAAGGATCTGTTTTATAAGGTTAAATGAAATCACATCATAGATTAGACAATGAGGATTATAACATAAACTCATCATTGGCAATCTAAACAGGCACCTCACACATATCCCCAGCAATATTTTAACCTAAAACATGTTTTCTGGCATTATTTAGAGTTTTTCTGTCTGCCATAAACTGGCAAATGGATTTCCTTTTTTTACTTTATTATAGCATGATTCCTTTGGAGTTTGGGGAAAGTAAGTGGAACTGTCCCTGCTCATGTTCTTATCTGCCTTTCTACATCTGGTTTTCATGCCCACCCACATTTCATGTCCAGACTGTATCCAAAAAAGGGCTGGGAGCCCAGGAAACCAAGCTTATTATATTAACAAATACATAGTAAACTACAACTAACAAAGCAATTTCAAAACCTCCATCTCACTTAGTTCTCACCACCCTTTATGTGGCACAAATTCTGATTTTTCAGAATTAAAAATCAAGGTTCAAGAAATTAAATAACATTCTAAATCTCCTCATCCAGTTAGAGGAGGGGCCAGTCACACCCTTATCTTTGACCTGGACAGATACCCACCCAAGGAACCACTTTTCACTTTCATATGCATTTGGTATGTCTTCTATCTCTTCCATATGCATTTTGTGTGAATGAATGAGTTTTCTCTATTTTCCAAGCATAACTTTCACTTCCATGAGTTGGTAAGAATAGATCTTTAAAACCATCTGATGATAGTATAAGTTCTACTTAACTGTTGTTTTTTAATAATCTGTCGAAAGTGAAAAGGTGAAAACCATTCTCTTCTCTCTTTATAGATTTTGATTTACAGAAATGAACTTGACAAAAGATTCTTTGTACCTGCTGAACAAATTGTAATTAACTTTATCACCCTCAATATTTTGGAGGATTCTAAATGTTCTCATAAGGATATAAGTGTTGTGGAAAAAAGCAATGATGTATGGGATCTGAATGAGCCCAGCAAGGACCAGCAGCCCCATCAGGAGGAAATGGAGGTGATGCACTTAGGGTATGCTTCCCATTCGATGGACATTTTCTATGACACAGAGAATGGCTCTGAAGGGACTTCCCTAACCCAACAAGAGTCATTCGGCAGAGCAGTACCCACAGATAAAATAGTCATTGAGTATGAATATGATGTGAGACCTGCTGACCTTTCTGTGGGGCCTGGAGATCCAGAGCTCCGTTTGCAGGAGGAGATGTTCCTACAAGGAAAATTATTTGAGCCACAGGCAGCTTTGGCTAACTGGGGCCCACAAACACTAACGTACTCAGATACCCCTCAACTCAGAGACTTGGACCACCTGCCAGAGGAACATGTGGACACAGAAGAGGAGCCAGAAGAAGAGCCATCGATCACACTGGTCGATTGGGACCCTCGGACTGGCAGGCTGTGTATACCTTCATTATTTAGCTTTGAACATGACTCAGAAGGATGTGAACATCCTGAGTACAAGGACCTCACTGATGAGGGCCTTTTGTCTAGACTTTATGAGGAGCAGGCTCCCAACAAGCCACTTGAAGAAGATGAAACCTATCTGACGCATTTTTTGGAGGAATGGGGATTAAATGTACAAATGGAAGACTAACACCCACACCTCCCTCTGCCTGACCCCTACTGTTACAAGGCACATGAGTACAAACATCCGAGTGCCCAAACAATAAAGCATCTGGGATAAAAGAAGTTTACCTGTGTTTTTCTATGTCAGGGAGAACTACTTATTTCCTCTTTCCTCGTAGCACTTTTTTCATTCTGTCTCAGATAGTGGTTATTTCATGCCTGTGGGCTTCTTACAGTGATGGCAAAGACCTGGAGAACAGTGGCTGACCATTGCTTTTTACCAGTAATATTTGCCAAATGTTTGCCAAATTAGATGCAGAATGTATTCAGGGGCGTGTACTATGGCCCTTTGTTATTTTCAAATAAACACATTTATACAATTATTTTTGGACACTTAAGTATATAACACTGTAAAAATGTTTCATGATATAAATACCATTCGCTTAGAAAATTTCAGTTCTACAATCACACTGCATTAAAATATGACAAAATCAATTAAGTTGAACCATATGAAATTGTTGCTGTTTGACTGGTTTTGACGTGTAGAAACAGCAATTTCATGAGTTACTTTAAATATATATTTCTTTTCATCATAAACTCACAGCCCATTGAGACTCTTTCAGGAAAACAGATATCCATATTTCCTTAGTTATATTTTTGGCACAGGCAGACAACCCTGGTAGGAGAGATGGATTCTGGAGTCATGGTCTTTGAGATTGTCCACAAATACAAACAGTTTCAGATCTAATGATTTAATTTGCAGCATAATTATATTAACCAGAGTGTTCTGTTCTTCTCAATCTTTGTAAAAATGATTCTGCCTGTTCTGAAGAACAGATTTGCAATACTAACTGTAAAAAATATATCAGAGTGGGAAAGAATGAGTTACTGAGAGCAAAAAGAAAATAAAGTGATTAGTTTTGGTTTGGTTTATTCATCTCATTCACAAAATATTAATTGAGTGCCTACTATGTCTTACAGTGCCTGCATCTACAAAACAGGGATAGCCACTCTCTCAGGATTGTTTTAAGGATAAAAGAGTTAGACTCTGTAAGGTACTTAAATAGTGCCTGGCATATAGGGAGTGCTATGTGGTGTTTGCTGTCAGTCATTATCAACAGCCAGAGCATATGCTTAGCATCAGAAAGAGAAGCCATTTAGACAGGGGACTATTTAGATTCAAAAGCAGACTTGGCCTCACCTTGTTTTTCTTATCTGAAAATACAATAGTAATTTGCTTCCCACTATATGCCTTCAGATTGAAATCCATCAGTGGCTGAGTAAAGAGAATCTAATTCTGAGTTGCTTTTACATCTCTTGTTTGTCTAAGCATGTCAGAAGTATTGAGCATTTTTAAAATGTTGTTGCTTCAGTACTTTGCAGTATGTGTAAGCACACACACATCTTGAAATAGAATAGGTATTTCTTATGGGGGAAGGTAACACATTCTTAGATGCAGTGTATCCTTGTGGGTGGTAGCTGCCAGGCATTCTGTCACCTCTGAGGCCAGGGCCTCAGCAGCTCCAAGAAGTTGTCTTCTGGGACCTCATTGATTCTATCCCTAGGCCTTAGGTCCGAGTGGGGCTGGTAAGTTGAGGTTTCAGAATCTTTGACAAGTACTCTTCATCGTCTTATCGGCTTTTGTTAGCTCTAGGATGTTCATATCTTTTCACGTTAAGTTTTCCTCATGAAAACATCTATGAGTGACTCTTTTCTTGCATTCCATAAACTCTAAACAACTGTGTGAATGAAAATCACTGTCTCTGCACAGTGGCCAGAGGACTACCAAGTGGTCATTTATCTCCCTCCAAGGCGTTGGACTCCACTGTGCTTCGTTCCTACTCCCTCTCCTCTTAGTCTTCAGGATTTGTAGTGACAGATGCTTGAAGGCAACCTTGGCTTTCACTATAATTCCTGGAAAAACAATGTTTATCACTGATGTTCCTCCAGATTCCTTTGCCAATGATACCTGAAAGATTTCTTTCAGACATTGCTAGTTTTAGTCTTGAACAAAATTTCCAGTCGATTTTTATTTCTGAATGCCCAAAGATGCTGGGTTAAGGTTCTGAAAGCATTGCTCCATCCAAGGTTCCCGTCAGGGCTGATGAGGGTTTATGTGTCATGTTTTGGTACCAGCTGAGGGAGGCTCCTCCATCCTCTGCAAAGGCTGCCTGCCCATGTATCCCCTAGAACTCTCTCTGGTGCTTTGCTAAATTTGGAAGCAGATGAGATGTTTTTTCCCTTACTTCCCCAACACGTTTCTTTTGAATTTCTCCTAGTCATTCTCTGGACTAGGTAGTACTTGAAGGCTTCCCACCAAGTCAGTAGATGGACATAAGGCTCATATTTATGTTTTCACTCACTGGCCACAGAGACTTCCCTCGGAAGTCAGAAGCAAATATATTTATGGTTATATTCTGTTTACGAAACTTCTTCGTTTCCAAAGTTTTATGTCTAACGTTCCAAACAGGTAAGAACTGTTGGCAAATTGGTTCATTGCTAGGGTGAGGGACATGTGCTGAAAACCTTGGCTTTCCTGATAACTGTCAGTATTTAAAGAGGGAATACCGAAGGCCTGGCAGGAAATGAGGAGAATATGTAATTCACATAGACCTCTGAAACGCAAGCACCATCTCCTGCTCACAGGTAATGTGAGTGAATAAATAATAAGATTGTGCCCTAGCCAGTTTGGCTAAGTGGATAGAGCATCAGCCTATGAATTAATGCATCTCTATTTCTGTCCTTCTGTCTCTCCCCTCCCTTCCTCTCTCTCTAAAAATCAATGGAAAAATATCCTCAAATGAGGATTAACAAAAAATAAATAAAAATTAGATCATAAGTAGGCAGGCAGTCCTACTGACAAAAATTACATAGTGTAAACAAGTCTCTTTCTTATGAAGCCACTGATAGTTGAGCTCTGCTAACTGATCTTACTGTTCAAGGAAAAAGGATTGGGAGTTTTGAATGATGGGCCTTTACACTTCAGCTACCTGTTCCTTTCTGTAATAAGCTCACCTTGGTTACAAATGGTCAGTAACCAATAGCAAATAAAACATGTTTGCTTTTCCTAAGACCCATATTTCTTGCCAGCTTTTTGCCACCAGCTTCCAAAATGAAAAGTTGGTGAAATTGCAGATGAAAATACTTTCAGGTGGAAACACCTTGAATCTAGGCAGAATGATGAACTTTAAACATTTAACTTTACCAAACAAAATATTAACAGAAGTATAATTTAGACATTTGCTTAAATTTTTTCTTAGCAACCCACATTATCTAAATCCTAGTCTCAGAAATCAGGAGTGGATGTTCCAGATGTTTATTGTAAGCATCAAAATTAACAAAGGCTTCAACCAACCAGAAAACATCTCAAAGAGGGTCTGTAGCCAAGACAGAGGGGAAGTGTGGAGGGAATCCAGGATTCTGTAAAGCCCTGAGAGTTGCCATATCCAAAGGAAGTGCCTATGAATGAGGTCATGTGTTTGTTACTTCGGAGAATGGAATCAGGACACTAATTAGGACACTATTTGGGAGTTACTAGAGTTCAGTTCCAAGGGAGGAAGGCTTTCTGTAACTAAGTGGTAGCTCAGTTCTTACCCATATGAGGTTTCTGCTGAGGCTTTTACAGAGAGGACTCCTCTGTGGGATTGGGGTTGGAACAGATGCTCCTAAGATCTCTTAGTATACTGCTAAATGTCTACCATGAAAAAACAATATTTGAAATCGTCTTTATTTCCCCTTTTTTCTTTTTCTTTCAGGCAGTTCACTAGTTAATAACTCATGCTCTGTTGTTGTTGTTTAAATAAATTGCCACTGGTCTACCTCTGTAGATAGCTAAGGGAAGCCAAGTAGTGCTTTCTTGAATATGATAAGCAGGAACTTAGAAATTTTTACATGAATCACTTAGCACAAGATAGACAGTTCTAAGCTCGCACCCTTACAAAAATCATTTGAAGTCTTGCCGGAACCGGTTTGGCTCAGTGGATAGAGCGTAGGCCTGCGAAAGGTTCTGGGTTCGATTCCGGTCAAGGGCATGTACCTTGGTTGCGGGCACATCCCCAGAAGGGGGTGTGCAAGAGGCAGCTGATCGATTCTCTCTCATCGATGTTTCTAACTCCCTATTCCTCTCTGTAAAAAATCAATAAAATATATTTTTAAAAATCATTTGAAGTCTAGAAATTTCATCTTTTTTATTATTATTATTTCCCCTTTTCATGCTACCTTGGCTAAGCAAGTCCCTTTCATTATCCTTTTCCTTAATGAAGTTTTGGGTTGTCAGAAAAGGGGATACTGCAGACAAAGGAGGCTCAAAGTCATCTTGTTTCCATAAATCTCTTCTGACTCAGAGCAGAAGTAGACATTACTGGAACAACTGTGTATCAGAGGAGTAAAAATAAATATTAGATTAAGAGCAGTCTACTTGGAAAACATTGCCCATATCACCCTTCAATCTGAATAATATTGTTTGTTCTCATCCCAATTACCCAGAAAACCCCAAGGCAGTTAACATTGGAATGAAGGTTTCTTTGCTGGCGGTATCAGAGTAAGCTGTTAAATATAACTTAGCCAAGACCTCATTTTTTACTGTACTTGAGGTCTCAGGTGTGCCTAAATCCAAAAATTATATCTTTATGCTTTTCCAATGGGTAGAAAAAGTAAAAGTGGCATGCAAGGAGGTGGGAGGGAAGGATGATATCTTCATATCCCCAGGACCTTGCACAGTGTGCAGCACACAGCTTGAATTTGTCATGAACAAACAAATGCATTGAAAAACGTGAGCAAAGATGTAGACATTTAAGTGCACACTATACTTAATTTGGAAAGGAATGTGGATAACTCTAAAAATAATTCCATATGTCAGGATTTCTAGGATGTAAATTCCATGAAGCCAGGGGTTTTTCTCTTTTCTTTTTCCACTAATATGTTCCCAGCACCTAAAACAGTGTCAATCATATAGTAGTTGCTCAATAAATTTTTGCTGAGGCTATGTAGAAATACCCGAATCTTAAAAATTATATAAATTAGTGCCCA